CCCTACCTTACCTTGACCCCACCCTACCCCCACCATACCCTGTCATGCCCCAGCTCTGCCCTACCCTACCTTACCCCAACCTCGACCCCACCCTACCCACAATCCCCACCCTTACCCCTAACCATGACTCAACCCCACTCCCCTACACCACTTGCGCCTACCTCGGCCCCACCCCGATCCCAACCCACCCCCACCCAAACTACCCTATACCCTCTACCACATGCCCCTACCACTACCCAGTACCCACCCTACCGCCATCCTACCCCCACGTGGGATCGGGGGTGGGACCAAAAGGGGGTAGGAGGTTTGGGGTATGGTGGTAAGAGCCTAGGGGTTAGGGGTAGGGTGGGGTCGTGGGGTAGTTCTAGGGGAAGGGGTAGGGGTTTGCAAGGGTGGGGTCGGGGTGGAGCCGATGTGGCAGGGTTGGGGTAGGGTGGTAAGGGCCTAGGGGTTGGGGTAAGGGGCCTAGGGTGGGGTCGGGGTAAGGTAGGGTAGGGTAGGGGTAAGGTGAGGTAGGAGTAGGGTAGGATAGGATAGGGTGGGTCGGGGACGGGGTAGCAGGGTAGGGCGTAGCGGGGTAACAATAGGGTAAGAGCAAGGGGTAATTCGGAAAGTGAAAAAGCTTAAAGTGCCGCTTAATTAATACATGGGGGGGGGGGGGGGGGTATGCTTAGTAAGCGACACTTTAAGCACCTCTTTCGGTTAGTAAGCGGCTTTTTAAGCAACGCGCATGTTTACTTCATCTGTCTTACTATCCTAACTGTGACTTTAGCAGCGAAGTAAACACCTAATTATTCTTTGTCATGTTATTAATAAAGTTCTGTTTTTTTAAAATGTTCTTAATACATACCTATGGGCGTGGGCGTGGGCATGCACGTAAGCGTGGCATGGGCATGCGCGCGCGTGTCTCATCAAAGTAGAAGGATCACACAATTTACACAATCTAGATATAGGAGCAGTGTCATCAATCAAATTATATTGAGTTCAAATACGCTCAATGAGAATATAAATATTATCACAGGTGTGTCGGTCATTAAATTTTCGAAAAGCGATAACACGTTTATGCGGAGAAGTATCTTTCCACATATCACTTCAAATAATACAAATGATGATAAGTATCTTTCCATATATCACTTCAAATACTAACACGTCCATCAAAGTTTGCGAGAAACGTTTTTAATATATCCTTTTCCAAAACATATTGCCTTATAAGTAGATATTAAGTAGATATAATAATTGTATAACTAATTTAAATAGATATACTACCTTTGTCCCTCTTATATTGGGACGGAAGAGGGTGACACAATTATTAAGAAAAGTGAGTTTCTGTGGTTGATATTAATTGATAAAGTAAGAATAAAGTAAGAATGATTTAGAGCCACACAAACTTTACCAAATATGATATGAGACAATTTTAGTGGGATTTCCCGAAAAGGTAAAACGGGACAATATAAGGGGAGCGGAGGGAGTAATATATATTAATAGGTGTAGAGAGAATTGTAGAAGATGAAGATGAAAATGATTAGAGAGTATTAGAGAGTAGGAAGTATTAGAGAGAATATATGTAAGAAAATGTTTAGAAGGGAGAACTCCTACCTAGTAGGACTGTGACCGGATGGCGGATGGTCATTGATTATCGTAAACTGAATGAGGCCACCCAGGAGGATCGCTTTCCCTTACCAAAATAGGTGTATTTATATTTTTTTTATCCCCCCCCCCCCCCCGCAGACCCACCCCCAACGGATCTATAACCATTGCCAACGGCTAGGAGGCAACCCAATGGCCCCAAACCAATCCAAACATTTTTTAAATTGTTGTCGTTGGGCCCGTAGCCCGTTGTTTATTGCCCCGGTTCGGGTCGGGCCTGTAATACCCCAAAAAATTGAGGAATTTTGCAAAATAAAGAAAATTATGTTGCATGTCATTTAGAAGGTCTCTAGATAGTTAATTAGATTTAGTTTGGTGGGTAGAGTCAAAAGCGAGTCCGCATGATGCAAAATTGGAGCGAAAATAGAAGTTGGGAAGCATAGGAGTCTCTGCCCGGAGCACACGGCTGCCCATATGGTGTGTGCAGTGCCGTGTGAAGCATAGGAGTCTCTGCCCGGAGCACACGGCTGCCCATATGGTGTGTGCAGAGCCGCGTGAAGCGTAACAGTCTCTGCCCGGAGCACATGGCTTCTCACACGGCGTGTGAATGACCGTGTGGACGCTTCGTCGGCCCAAAAGCCCAAATTTTGACATGTTAGTATAAATAGATCCCCAACTCCGAAGTTCTTGATTCCAAAAACCCTAACGCTGACATCCTAAACATTATTTCTTCCATCTCTTCAATCCTATTCCATCCAAGAAGGTTTTTGAGACTAAGAAATAGACCAATCAACCAAATCGTCTGGTAAGTGTGTTTGTTGCCAAATTCTTATGGTTCTTCATTTTCTTTGATTCCTTTCTCCTAAATTGTGATCCAAAACCCTATATCTCTCTAGGGACTTGTGATTGACCTCTCAAGCTAGGTTTGACGTTTAGGATCCATTGTTATCCTCGAGGTAAGGACTATTGCAACCAAAACTACTGATAAAGTATTAATCTTTGAGAGAAGTGAGAGTTAGAGAGAGACAACAAGTAATTAATATTTCTCAACCCTCTATAACTATCCATAGGGGGGCTATTTATAGGGGAAAATGTGAATTTGAGCTCCTAGCCTTGAGCTTGAGAAGCTCATTACAATAATAAGCCTCTAATGGGCTGAATACATGTTTTATTTGACTAAGTATAAAAATCTAAAAATGTGGACAAGACTTTTAGTTGATAGTAATGAAGTTGTCATATGAAGAGCTACTGTTGATTACTACCGTTGAAGGAGAAGCTTGGAGTAGAGGAGTGATCCTCTCCGATCATGCGGTGATGGCTCTCTCTACCCATGACCCATCAATCTTTTGTTGGAGTTGATGACAAGAATGATGGCGTTGAGGAGTCGCGCGTAATATGATGATGATGGTGTTGAGCGTCCGATCCCATGATGATCACGTCAGTACTGAGGGGTTGGGGAAGGCGACGATCATCTTCCAGGAATGGAATGATGAGGCGTGAGCTGTAACACTGCTTCCGAATAATTCCCCCGAATATTTTACTAAATAATACTACCTTCGTCCCACTGTGTTTGAGACAAAGGAGTGTGACACGACTTTAAAAAAAAAGTGGAATTGTGTGGTTTATATTGAATTGATAAAGTGTAAATAAAGCAAGAATGAAGTGTACCACCAAAATACTACCACTATTGTCAGTCTGCTAACAATAACACCAACTATTGATTATTTTTGTATAATCCCAACTATATAGAATGTCCGCCAATAATGGTTTAAAAAATTGGATCGAAATTGAAAATTTTAAAACAACTACAAAATAATATGAGGGTGTTCACTAAGTTTCCCGTCAAATACGGAATATCATGCATGTATCCAATATCGTGTGGTAACGACATTTCTTCCTAAACTTTTGCTCTGCATTAAATATCATGTATCCGTATTTAGTCATGTATCATGCATGTATCATGTATCGTAGATAGTAAATTTTAGTCATACAACACATACATTATGTATTTTGGTCATATAATGAGAAAACCTCTCTCTTCTAGTCATAGGGCCATATTTTTCCCTTTTCTATTTTTTACAAAGGCCATCAAACCTTAAGATAAATGGTAGTTTATAATAGAATATATTTTAGGAATATTTGTTTCCTAAAATATATTTAGCAATATTTGTTTCCTTTTGTACCTTGAACTCTCTCATTATATATTAATCTGCCAGGACTCCTATTGGAGTAACCTTTTTCCCATTATTTCACATGGTATCAAGAGCCTAAGAAAATCCCTATTTTTTTTCGCTACTTTCTCTCTCTGCTCGTTCGCCGCAGCTCTATGGATCCTCACGTATCTGCCGCAGCAACGCAGCCATCTGCTACATCATCTTCCTCCCAGACTTTTTCTTCCTCCACCATGCAAACTACTGCTATGGATGTTCACTCTTCAGCCGCTGCAGTTTCTTCCGTCGCGGTAACTACTCAGACCGGCGCCATCTTTTCTGAAGTGTCGCTGCCGGTAACGCTGCCCGGAACGCCGGCCATCCAGGGACCCCCTATGTCGTCCGCACCGGTGTTTGGCTCCTACTCTTTGTTTGAGAGCCTTCCGCCTCACTTCCCATGGCAGCAGCCAGTCGGATCTCCTTCCCCGACGGTCACTCTCCCACCGCTGCACAACGCCGGCTTTTACGGCAGCACCTTCGCCGGCTCACCGGGTATTGCACGCCCGGACAGTTCTTTGTTTGCATCTCCTATGGCTGCCCTGGCTCAATCCGTGTCTCATGGCATTGCTAATGTCGGGCAGATTGTGACTATTAAACTCAAAGCGGTGGAAGACTACTTGACATGGAGAACTCAGTTTGAATCCTTCCTTGTGTCTCAAGGACTTTTTGGTATGATAGACGGCTCTACTCCGGTACCTCCCTTATACACATTGAATTTTAATAATCAACAGGTCGTTAATACTGATTATTATCATTGGCTCCGAGTAGATCAAACAATTCGTTCTTGGTTGTTTGCTACTTTATCTCGCGAAGTATTAACTGATGTGCATGATATTAAACATTCGTGTCGTATATGGGAGCGTTTACAGTCTCGCTTTATGTCTGCAAGTTTACCCAGAGCCATGGAACTTAAACGTTTATTAACTAATACTAAAAAGAAGGCAAATCAATCCATGGAAAATTATTTGCGTGAACTTAAAAATTTGGCGGATGCGTTAGCCACGATTAATTCTCCTATGACTGATAGAGAATTACTTCAAAGCACTCTTGCTGGATTGGGACCGGAATATAAATTTATTACAGGCACCATATCTTTATTCCCTGAGAGCTTTCCGCCAGATATACTTCATCCCCGCCTCATGGAAGCAGAACAACAGATTTTGTATGAACAACAACAAACTGCCTCTATTCAGCCAGCTTTTGGGGCTCAAGTTCATGCCGGGCAGCAAGGTCAACCAACCGCATACCGCGGCAGAGGAGGCCGCGGCAGAGGCGGAGGTCGCGGCAGGGGAGGTGCTCGCGGCAGAGGCCGCTACCAGCCACCTCAAGGCTATGGGCAGCAAGCCTATCAACCCACGCAGGGCTTCGGCCAGAACCAGCAAGGCCCTTCCGTTGTCCTGGTACCTCCGGCAGCAGGGGGTGTTGTTCCTTCCCGACCGACTAATGCGGCATCCGGTAAATCTGTTGTGTCCACTTTAAATATTAATGCTAAATCTACTTTTGGTACTCACTTTCGTCATGCAGGTTTTCCATCAGCTGAGGGTATTCTTGGTTCAGTTCCTCCACCAGTTGTGTGTCAGATTTGTTTTTCTGCAGGTCATTCTGCCTTACATTGTCCATCTCGCTTCTCTCAGCCATCTGCACCTGCGTTGGTAGCTCCAAGTGGTGAATCAAATGATGCTTTGTGGTACCCGGACTCCGGTGCCTCGGCTCATATGACATCGTCTGAAGGTATTTTGTCTAATAAATCCTCTTACTCTGGCTCCATGACTATTAGTGTTGCTAATGGTACTAAGCTTCCCATTGCTAATATTGGTAATATTACATTAAATACTCCTAGTCGCCCACTGTCATTAAAATCTGTTTTTCATGTGCCTCAAATTAAATTTAATTTAATTTCTATTCAAAAATTGTGTGCTGATAACAACTGTGTTGCAATTTTTGATAAAAATTCTTTTCTTGTTAAGGACAAAATTTCGGGGGCAGTTCTTCTTCAGGCGCACCATAATGGCCATCTCTATCCTATCAGTCTCAGCCATCCTGCTTCCGTAGCTTTAGCTTCCGTCACTTCTTCTGGCCCTGTGTGGCATTGTAGACTAGGACATTGTGGTGATTCTGTTTTGCGTCTCTTACGCACTAGAAAACTTATTACTAGTTCTTCAAATTTTGAACATGACTGTGTTTCTTGCCGTTTGGGAAAATCTCAACGATTACCTTTTTCGGATGCTAGTCATACTTCTTCTGCACCTTTGCATTTAATTCATTCTGATGTATGGCAATCTCCTGTTTTATCTAATTTAGGGTTTAAGTATTATGTTTGTTTTATTGATGATTTTTCTCGATTCACATGGGTTTATCCCTTGCGCACAAAAAATGAAGTGTTTTCTCAGTTTCGTCTTTTTAAACTTCTTGTTGAAAATCTGTTTAATGCTAAAATAAAAGTTTTTCAAAGTGATGGAGGGGGTGAGTTTGTTAATTTTAATATGCAACAATTTTTTGCTGAACATGGAATCTATTTCCAAAAATCTTGTCCTCATACTCCTCAACAAAACGGTGTCGCTGAACGTAAACATCGCCACCTTTTGGAACTTGCTAGGACTATGCTTATCACGGCCTCCATTCCTAACACTTTTTGGGTTGATGCTATTTTTACAGCTGCATATATTATTAATAGACTTCCCTCTCCTACTCTTTTTGGTGTTTCACCATATGAAAAACTTTTTCAAAAAGTCCCTGCCTATAATTCTTTACGAGTTTTTGGATGTGCATGTTATCCTAATTTTTCTGCATCATCTTCCAATAAACTTTCTCCTCGTTCTGTTCAATGTGTTTTTCTTGGCTATGCATCTGGATTTAAAGGTTATCGTTGTTTTGAGCCTAAGACAGGAAAAGTTTTTATTAGCAGGCATGTTCGCTTTCATGAAAATATTTTTCCATACGCCACATTATCCTCTTCTACAAATCACCCCACGTCTCCATCTCTTCCTATTGCTCCTGAGTTTACACTCACCAATACCGCCCCAAGCTTTCCAGACTCACCGACTTCTACCCTGCCTCTCCCTCCACTTCCCACGGGCAGTCCTACACCAGCCACTACCGAAGATCCTCCACACGAAGTCTTCGAACCATCCTCAACACCTCAAAACAGTCCATCACCACCACCTAAGACTCCTTCCCCTGAACAGATTCTCAGCCCTCCTACTTCTTCCTTTTCTCCTCCAACCGAGCCCATGGAAACTGCCCCTCTTAATACTCCTCGGTCTGCTACGTCCATGTCTTCTCCGCCTCTATCTCACGACCAGTTTATGAATAATCATCCCATGCAAACCAGGGCAAAGTCGAGGATTTTTAAACCAAAAACAATTTTTAATTTAAACACAGTTGCTTTATCAGCTGATCCTACCTGCTTTTCAGAGGCTAATAAACATTTAATATGGAGGGCGGCAATGGCTGAGGAATTTAATGCTCTTATTTCTAATAATACTTGGGATTTAGTGCCATTTGATAATTCTAAAAATGTTGTGGGCTCTAAGTGGATCTATAAGACTAAGTATAACTCTGATGGTTCTATTGAGCGCCACAAAGCTCGTTTGGTCGCTCAAGGTTTTAATCAACAGGCCGGTGTAGATTTCTCCGAAACATTTAGTCCTGTCATAAAACCCACCACTGTTCGTATTGTTCTTACTTTAGCTATTTCTTTTGGTTGGGTCATTAGACAGTTGGATGTTAAAAATGCCTTTTTGCATGGTCACCTCACCGAGGAAGTTTATATGCGTCAGCCGCGGGGTTTTATTCATCCATTGTTTCCTAATCATATATGCAGATTGCGAAAAGCCATTTATGGTCTTAAGCAAGCCCCGCGGGCATGGTTTCATCGTTTCAGTAGTTTTCTTCTCTCTCATCACTTTACGTGCAGCAAGTCTGATAATTCTTTATTCATTTATCGTCAGAATAATAATGTCATTTATTTATTACTATATGTGGACGACATCATTATTACTGGAAATTCTTCCGCTGTTATCACCTCTTTTATTCAGCTTGTTGCTACACATTTTGCTATGAAAGACCTGGGTGATCTTCACTATTTTTTAGGAGTCCAGGCAGTGCGTACTGCTAAAGGTTTGTTTCTTTCCCAAAATAAATATGTGTCTGATCTTCTCTCTCGTTTCCATCTTCACACACTTAAGTCTGTACGTACTCCACTTGCTACTCGCACGTCTCTCTCCCTTACTGATGGGGAACTTCTTGCAGATGGTACTGAGTATCGTAGTATGGTTGGTGCGTTGCAATATTTAACTTTGACACGACCTGATATTACCTATGCTGTTCATTTAGTGTCTCAATTTATGCATGCTCCCAGTACTACTCACTTATTTGCAGTCAAGCGTATTTTTAGATATTTACAGGGGACCCTTGATCATGGATTATGGCTTCAGCCGACTACTCAGGCCACGTGTGTTATTGCTTATTCCGATGCAGATTGGGCAGGCTGTCCCGATACATCTCGTTCCACGACTGGGTTTGCAGTGTTTTTGGGCCCTAATCTTGTTTCGTGGAAATCCAAAAAGCAGCCTACCGTTTCCAAATCTTCTACAGAAGCTGAATATAGAGCCGTGGCATATACTGTTCAGGATACTCTGCATATCCGTTCTGTACTATTTGAGCTTGGGTTTCCTGTCTCGGTTCCAGTTAAGTTATTTTGTGACAATATATCTGCATCCTACTTGACTGCTAATCCCGTCCAGCATGCTCGCAGCAAGCACATTCAGATAGACTATCATTTTGTCAGAGAGCGTGTGGCTCATGGCGATCTAGTTGTGAAGTACATTCCTACACAGTTGCAGTTGGCTGATATCTTTACTAAAAGTCTCTCTAGTCAACAGTTTCATTTTTTAAAGGACAACCTGCGCGTTGTTTCTCCCGCACAGTTTGAGGGGGTGTAATAGAATATATTTTAGGAATATTTGTTTCCTAAAATATATTTAGCAATATTTGTTTCCTTTTGTACCTTGAACTCTCTCATTATATATTAATCTGCCAGGACTCCTATTGGAGTAACCTTTTTCCCATTATTTCACAGTTTATGCCTTTTATGGGGAGTTGAAAACATAAAATGAGTATAAAGAAAATTGTAGTATGGGACTATGGTATTATCAGTTGAAGTAAAAACCCAAGGTATGCCTTTTGTAGTATGATATTATCACTTGAAGTTGTTTCACAAAATGACACTTTAAATAGAGCAAATTAGACTTCATAAAATGTATTGATAAAATACGAAACGTGGGATGATGACTTTCATGGGCATTAATGAGATCATAGAGTAGGAGGGGTTGCGGGAAAGTGAGTGAGTTTGAGACGAAGGATATGAGAACGATTTAATGAACCACAGTACAAATGCTCTCCAATTTTAACACTGCTTGTAATGAGCGAGATGTGTTTGTCGTAATAGTATGCAACTGCCTTCCCCTCCAAATCTATCGCTATTGTCCCTCCGTTTTTCTCTACAACTGGTCGTCCCGTGTACTTCTCCATCATACCCACAATTTTTCTTATTGAAGGGTACCTTTTTAACCACTCAAACATATCTGCCTCCTGGAGTATACAAGATACTTATATAAGGGAAATGGTGAATTAATAACACAAGCAAATGCAGGGGCGGAGTTAGAGCACTAGGTCGGACTGGACCGGTACAAAGAATATTTTTTGAAATTTTCTTATACGGAATTTATTACACTAAAAATACAGACATTTTTAAAATTTAGGCTGAGTCAGGGCCAGACCCTCCCCTAGCTCCGCCCATGAGCAAATGTATATTTTAGGTCGGGTACTATCTACACATCACCAATCAAGCTAAACAACACAATTAAGGTTCAAAATAGTAGACAGTACAAATGAAAGTGATTACGCACCGTGCTTAAGCCAATCCAGAATAGGCTTTCCCCATCATATTTTATGTTGTCGGGCAATCCAGGCAAATTCACAACGAACATATCAACACTTCCCTTTTTTGGACCTTGTATGTAATACCTTCTGCACCTCCTCCTGCAACAGTACATTGTTGGACTCGTCAATTTTTAAACTACGGATTATGAATTACCCGAGTCAACTTTAATTATTCAACTGAAACACCAAGATTTCACTAAAATCAGCAGATTCATCCAATTTAAGTGTTAGGATCTTTTTAAGCACTATTTAAACAGCTTATGTTTTTGTTATGCCATGGGGTTGCCATGCAGTATGCAAGGGAGGTCAGGGGCGGACCGTAGTACAGACCCAGGAGGGCAGTCGCCCCCCCCAACAACAAAAACTTTTAGTGTATATATATTATAAAAAATAATTTTCGCCCTTCCAAAAAACATTTTGTTTAAGTTACCGCCCTCCCAAGACAAACTTCCTGGGTCCGCCCCTGAGGGAGGTACAATCATGAATCAGGAACGATGTAGATATGAGAAAGTTTTGTATACCTACGTGAACAGAGAGTGCTTAGCATAACGTCGTGACGTTATAAAATACTCCTGTATCTATAATAATATAAAGTAACAAGGTGTGACACCTTGCTTTTCCTTCCAATTAGACATTTAATGCTTCATACCCATTAAAAAATAAGAATTACATGAATATTGGAGTAATTGGAATATCTATCTATCTATCTATCTATAAAGTAACAAGGTGTGACACCTTGCTTTTCCCTCTAATTAGACATTTAATGCTTCATACCCATTAATAAATAAGAGTTACATGAATATTGGAGTAATTGAAATATTTTCAATTCAAAATAATCTATAATGATGATGATATATAATAATTAGTTTTATTGTAATACTCCGTATAATACTTCCGCCAAATACATTTCATGGTATTTGGCATTTCAAGTTTAACTAACAGCTACGAGTTAGTTAAACTATTCATTAGATTTCTTCTGTCATCTAACGACAAATTACATTACAAACGATATTATAAATGTTTTAAGAACATGTGCTTAACATGTAAATGTTATACTCCGTATTATTTATTGATAGATAAAGAAGTTATATACTCCCTCCGTTCTTTTTTAGTTGCAACACTTTCCTTTTTGGGTAGTTTCAATTTAATTGCAACATTACCTTTTTTAGTAATAAGAAATAACCACAATGACTCTATTACCCTTAAATCCAATAAAGTAATGCTTCATACTAAAGTACTAAACCCATCTGCACCACAAATTCCTGCCATCCGATCTTTTCACCCA